AAACAAGGCTTACGGAGCTACGCATTATTACGTTCAGCAAAGTGCCAGTCCATTCAAATTCTAACAACATTAGATTACTTCAATACAGGGTGTATAAAAAGAACGCAACCTCGAAATTTCCCAAGAAATCGACATTGTTTTAAAGACAAAAGATTTTAGCTGCCTGGGAATTTAAAATAGCACAACTGTGAAAATTACTGCACGCGCGAGTGCATAAAGCAAAATTTATGCATTTATTTAATGACACTTAATAAGTTTTTATTTTACAAGTACTGTACAGTACAACAACAGTAATGTGATCTATTAGCAATTCGATTTCAATTCGCGGGGGCCTGAAGTCTTTTATGCTTAAGAATTGTAAAGTGGATTTCTTAGGAAATTCCAAGGTTGCGTTTCACTTCCGAGTAACGGGCGGAGGTATGCAGTCTCTAAGTGCCCTCTAGTTATATAATTGTTCATCCTAATTAGCATTCTTTTGTAGTCGTATTTTAAACTATTCAAAACACTCGAACTCGTGTTTTAAATACTACATGTATATATATATATATATATATATATATATATATATATATATATATATATATATATATATATATATATATATATATAGTATGTATATATAACTAAAACATTTATTGTATGGTTCTCATTTGCCTAATATAACAATAACAATAACAACTAGAGGGCACTCAGAGACTGCATACCTCCGCCCACATTAAATTTCGGTCGTGTGAAATGCAACTAAGACAATAGACAATTAGGGCTGAAGCTTAATGAGGTTTATCATCTCATTGTCTTCTTAGTACTGCGTGCATACATTATACACGTCCTAATTACGCATTCAGTGAGTTTTTTATAATTGACCGGGAAAAGCAAGACAAAATTTTGTTCATTTCTCGTTCAATTTTTAACCAAATTCAACCAAATTTTAATCAGTTCTTCCTTGGCCGATGGGAAATGCATTCAAAAAATTTCGTACGGATATGTTTGGTATTTCTTGAGTTATCGTGCTCACAGACAAACACACACACATACACACACACACACATACACACACACACATACACACACACATACACACACACACACACACACACACACACACATACAAACCCAGATGATTACATAACCTCCTGGCGGAGTAATGATGCAGGTATGTTCAATGTTGGCAAATGTTGTTATGATTTAGGAAGAAAAACGTGAAAATGATTGAAGACTTGGTATTAAGGCTCTGTTCACAGGCACAGGGTATATAACTATTAACTCAACCACGAAGGAAAACATCGAAATGACATATGTTTTATAGTGTCGTATGGTCTTGTATAGCGTTGTATAGTCTTGTTTAGTCTTGTATAATCTTGTATAATAGTCGTTTCTAGTGTAGTATAGTGTTGTATAGTCCCCCATAGTGTCATATAGACTTGTATAACGTTATATACTGTCGTACAGTGTCGTATAGCCTTATATATTGTTGTATAGTCTTGCATAACGTTGTATAGTGTCGTATGGTGCTGTATAGCCTTATATAGTGTTGTATAGTCTTGTATACTGTTGTCAGTGTAATGTTCCATAGTGTCGTTTAATTAGTGCCATATAGCCTTATATCGTGTTCTATAGTCTTCTATAACGTTGTATAGTAATGCTTAATAAACGAGCAGGAGTCGGTTTTATCAGGTTTAAAGCCACGAACGCGCAGCGCGAGTGGCTTTAGACCTAATAGAACACGACCTGCGAGTTTATTAAACGGCTTCAAACACGACTACAAATTCAATAGATATCCTGCCTTATTAGTATTCTTTATATAAAGAATACTAGTGAGGCTACAGTAGATACTGCTTTATTAGTATTCTTTATTGGTATTCTTTATTAGTATTATTTATTAGTATATTCTTTATTAGTATTCTTTATTTTTTATCAGGTTTAAAGCGACTGTGCGTGACATATTATGGTTGACAAGATTTGCGAATAGGCTTTTGAATTTTTAATGATTGTTTGAAGTGTTGTATAGTGTTGTTATGTATTATTGTATACCTATAGTGTCGTTCTAAATTAAACCTAAAAAGACGACCGATAACCACCTATAGTGTCGTATAGTGTTGTATAGTCTTGTATAATGTCGTATAGTCTTTACATAATGACATTGTACAATCATAACGTTGTGTAGTGTTGTATAGTGAGTCGTCTTTAGTGTACTATAGTGTCATGTAAAATCTTGTATAGTGTCATAATTTTTATTGTCTTGTATAACGTTGTATATAGTGTTGTATAATCTTATATAATGTTGCATAGTTATGTATAACGTTGTATAGTGTTGTACAGTCTTGTATAGTGTCGTATAGCCTTTATATGTTGTTATATAATATTGTAGAACGATGCAGCTTGAATCAAAATATAGAAGAAATTTGGATTTCTGTCAGTCGGTAATTGCTCGTAAGTCGCCAGAAAGCTCTCGTTCTGTACTTTCCGCCATGATGAAAAATATAAAAAAAAACATAATTTCTTCACAAATAAAAGACAATAATTTCGTTAGAAAATTATTTTTGGACGAGCCGCCGGGGCGAGTCCAATTTGGCAAATTTCCAAACATCACGAGTACTATTAATCCCTAATTGTACGAGCAACATCGCATGATTACTTGTTTATTATTAGAATAACAAAATTGGATATGTACTTCTCAATGTCAACATCATAATCTCTCGCCAAAGCCGAGTCCTACCAGACTTTCAACCAAAATTTGGTGCTTTTGTTTGTATTTTCATTTAGTTCTTTTCTTCAAGCAAAATTTGGTGCTTTTGTTCGTATTTTCATCTAGTTCCTCTACCATAATTTCATTTCACATTTGTGTTTAAAATACCTTTCCGCCATTTTGTTTGTTTTGCAAATCGTTAATTGTACTGCAGTACAATTAATGAAATAATTGTACTCCTCTCAACCAATCAGCATCCAGTAATTTTGTCATGCTAATAATAAATCTGAAAAACCAAATGTTTGGCGAATTAATTAATAATAATTATAATAATAAAAACCTCGAGAAAATATAATAGTAAAATAGGAAATAAATACTTTGACAAATAGGAATTAAATAGCCCAATAAAATAGGAAATAAATAGCAATTAATCAGTGTTTGATTCTACAAGGGATAACTTAATGTCAACACGGAAACGTCGGATAATTTCTTTCTTTATGTTTCTTTGTGCTATATTATAAAACAGTTATAAAACATTTTTTACATATTGATATATAGTTATATCAACACTCGTGGAAATTGGGAAATCTCGTAATTGTGTGAAAACACTTCGCCCTTCGGGCGTCGTGCTTCCACAGAATTTTTCGTTTTCCCAATTTCCACTCGTGTTAATATAATGGTATATCAACAGGGAAAATGTTTTATTTTGTTAAATAAAACAAACATACGCGAGCGTGTCGGTTCCGTCTTTTAATGGCGTCAGTCTAGGATGAATTAATTCACTTAACGTAATGAGTATTATTATTATGACCGATAAACTGAGAGACGTTTTCCAATCTACATGCAGCGATAACATACCTGGCTCACCAGTCTAGACAGTGAATTTAGCCTTTGCGCCGAATATAATACAACGATTGAAAACGGCAGTAGATGGGCGCCTAAACCAATAAAACTCTTGCAAGGTTTGAATAACTAAGTGCAACAGGGCGCAATTTTCGCTAAATCATTTCACATTCATCCGGCAAGGATGACTTAGGTTTGGAGCCTGAGTTTGTGGAGCACAAACCTCCCTCGGCTTTCGAGGACATTTAATTAACCACTATTTTCCATCATATTGCTTATAAATATTACATGGTAATCATTTTTACTCGAATTGTTGGCGTTGGAATTCTCCTAGCGTGTAGTCAGAGATTTTACGCACATGCTTTTACTGTCGCTTAATTCTTTAAGATAGTGAAGTAGCAAAATTGCCAAAACAATACAAACTTTTGATGCTATAAAGCCGGAAAAGTGTTCAAAATGCTGGGAAAAACCCGAGCGATACACAGATTAATTTGCCAAACTTTTTCGCCATCTGCATGGGCTGCTGGATTTGCCATAAAACGTTAATAGTAGGTTTTGTCGTATTGCTTATATTTGATTTTCGAAAATCGAAATTATTGTATTTTTTGTCTTTCGCTGAAAATATATCTGGCAGTTGTTAAAAAAACAATTGAAGGTACTTTCTAAATTACCTATGTTCATTGTTTGTTGCCTTTTCTATGTTTTTGTAGCCTGCGTGGCAGGCTCAATCGGTAAATGAGAGCCTGCAACAATCTCAAGGAAATTTGATAACAGCCCACTAATTACTATGATAATGTATTTCTAGTTTCTAGACAAATGCGAAGAAATTAGCCAATTTATAACTCATGGCCAAAACTAATCCTATTGGAAAATGGAAATCAATTTACCGATTTTAGCGATAATGAAAATGGTTTTGGATACATCCAAAACCAATTCCAAGACGAATGCGAGCAAATTAGCCAATTTATTGTTGATGAAAATGGTTTTGGATGCTTCCAAAACCAATCTTGTAAGAAAATGGAAGTCAACTGACCGATGTGTCCAAAACTAATCCTGGAGAAATACAAACAAATTCACTGATTTTTGCTTAAAAATCCCCAGACAAATCAGCCGATTTTAGCGCTTATGGAAATGGTTCTGGATGCGTCCATAACCAATACCTAGCCAAATGCAAACAAATTAGCCAATTTATAGTTCATGGGAATGGCTCAAATTGGATGCCTCCAAAACCAATCTTGTAGGAAAATGGAAGTCAATTGATCGATGTGTCAAAAAGTAATCCTAGAGAAATACAAACAAATTTCACTGATTTTAGCAAAAAATTGCCAGACAAATCAGCCGATTTTACACGCCGGACACAAGTGGCGAGAAAATTCCCAGATTGTCAGTGCTTGCGAGCAACGGTATTTCCCCCAATTATGTTCCCTTTTATCCCTGTGCGACACCCGGTGACGATAGAAACAGTTTCAAAATGGCGGCGAAGTTAAGCGTGGAAGAAGTATTGGACAAAGTTTTAGAAGGAAATGCTGACACAAATCAAGAGCAGATAAGAGGCGAAAACGACGACGAAAGCAGTAACGTCCTAACACTACCAGAAATAAGCGAGCCTGGCATGCCTCGCATGCTGTTTTCATTGAACGTAAATGTGGGGAAGGTTTTAGAGGAGAGTCGTATTTATGGCTAAAAGCCATCCACCGGCGTCTGGCTGGAAGACGAAACATTCTTTTCACAAATAAGGCGTGATATAACAGAGGAAATGTTTAGGTGTTTAGTTCGAGCAATCAAAAGTTGCCGAAGTCCATTATTCTGCGATACGAATTGCTATGTCGTTGAAAGCAAGAAAATGACAGTTGCATCTTTTCAGTCCATTTTTGTAGTTAAAGAATTCCTCAGCGCCCTGAGTATGACAGAGGTATCAGGTTACCTAGAACGGAGATTGAGGAGTAATCGCAAAGATTACTTGAAAAAACTGTTGGTCTCTGAAACAAAGGACTGATTTACCATTCTAACAAGACGCTCCACGGAGCGTAAAGTCGCTGGGGCGATGGAAATATGCAATTTTAAGCACAAGTGATACCACTTAAGAACAGCGTGTTTGTTTTTCCGAAAACATTGAATCTTGAAGTTTGCAGTTTGCTTGGCAGTTAGCGCTAATAGTTAAAACAAGTACAACAATGTAGCAATGTTGTTTTAATAGTCGTATAGTATACAGTATCTATCGTATGTGTTAAAATTATAAACGTTTATTCTGTTGTCATTACACAGATCGTCTGGTGTAATGTTACCAACTGGTGCGTCCAAGGCTGGAAGGCAAGAATATTCTTCCCTTCGAAACTAAACACATTATAACGTCTGTGTAGTACAATAATGCCTCGTGAGAGGAGATTACCAAGCGACTGTATTATCACTATTATGTATAGCAATAACGCTTTAGTCATATCTACTAATCTACATACCAGTGCGCACTGTGCAGTATAGAGGCGGCAATCTGCATGTAATAATAATATATGTTATTGGTCCAAGAAAGATTCTATGTTACTTCCACACGATATCAGGAAACTGAGTTCCTCCTTTTCAGCTTCTGGTAATACATTTTGTCCCAATGAACCTTAATCCTTCAATGCTATTTAATAGGAATAGGACTCAAAAGAAGCAGGCGATGTCTGACTTTAAGTCCCTAGGGCGCGGATAGGGTCAAATTTGACCCATAAGATATTTGGGCTCCCTGTAGCTAAAGTATACAAGCTAAAGTTATACTGCGCATGTCAGTTTGAAACACACGACTTCCTCTTCAAGATAAAAAAAATTCACAGCGATAGCTTAAATATTGACGATTTTTGTAAAGTTTTCGAACAGTTTGTTTACAAAATAGCGTCCCAAAAGGATTACCTAAGTATATGGCCACGTTACATGCCGAAAACGAGTCAGAACTCGACTCAGATTCATCGTCAGGTATCGAAGAGGAAACAGATTCATCAGCTGATGAATATCAAGCCTCTTCAACATGCAATGTTGATCCATGCTTCCAAGATTCAGTGTTTCACAGTGATGGCAATCCCCAACAAGTAAGTAAATGATCTAAGTTTTGTATTATTATAATGTTATTGATTTTATATTGAAGTAAATTTTCACGAAATTTTGACGAAATGCTTCTTGGAACTAAATGTCGGGTGTCATTTACTCAATATATGCCAAAAAAGCCCAAACGATTTGGCATAAAATTATGGGCTTTGTGTGAGGCTAAGACAGGTTACTGCTGTGCATTCCAAGTATACACTGGTAGGGAAGATGCTTCCAGACCTGAATTAGGACTGTCATACAGAGTTGTGTTTGATCTCATGAAGAACTACCTCGACAAAAGTTACAGACTTTTCATTGATAACTTCTATACTTCTGTACAATTGGTCTATGATTTACTACAGAGGCTTACATATGCCTGTGGTACACTGAGATCAAACAGGAAAAATTTACCCTCGCAACTGAAAGAACAATTGGGAACTGGCGAAGCAAAATTTTGGCGTTGTGACAATTTAGTCGTTACTCACTGGAAAGATAAAAGAGATGTGTTTGCTATGTCTTCCATGCATGGAAATGATTGTGAGGTTATTGCCAACAAAAGAGGTGACAAACAAACTACCAAACCAAAAATGATGTGGACTACAATGAAAACATGGGGGAGTTGACCTGTGTGATCAACTTGTCTCATATTACAACATCAGCAAGAAGTCCTGCAAGTGGACTCAAAGATTAATTTTTAGACTTATAGACATGTGCATTGTAAATTCTCTTCTTGCATTCACTGCCAACAACCCTGCTTTCAAAGATGTGTATCGAAAACACAAAGTGTTCAGAGAAATATTAGCACATCAGCTGGTGCAAAAGTTATTGGACAGAAGAGCCAACCCAAATGTTGCTTCACCACCGGGCCCAGATAGACCAGCACAAACTAACGAGAAAAGATTATTAGGAAAACATTTTGCAAGTAGGCATGATGTTCGAAAACGATGTGTTGCTTGTTCCACAAAGAGGACAGCTGAGGGCAAATATGTGGACAAAAACAATTATTGTCACAAATGTGAGAAACATATATGTCAAATGTGTTTCGAAAAGTATCACACTTGGTCCAATGTATAAATATATCTCCATTTTACCTGCAGTGATAGCTAGTGTATATAAGAATAACCTATTTTGTTTTATCTGTACAAAATATTATACATTTTTAGGTATGATGTCAGCAATAAAGGTAATTCAAACTTCTTCATTTTTTACAGGAATTTATACCAGCAGTTTCCGGCATAAAAATTGATAACTTATGTAATACTTTTGCTACATATATAATTTTGGTATCATTTTGAAGCCAAATGAATTATCTCTTCATTGATTTGGCCCAAAATACCATTCACTTTTTCCATGCTCCACAAAGGGTCCATAAACATTAAAAAATGTTTTTGCTTGGGCAGGCCCAACTTTTTGTGGATGCCCGCACTCCCCGACAATAAGGTCTGACTCATTGTGATGCCAATATTCAAGAAGTTTATAGCAATAGCTTCAAAATGATATGTAACATGTATGTATAGGATCATTGATTGTCTCCAAAAAATTAAATCAATGCAAATAAGTTGATCATTAAAATATTCATAAAAAACAATTCGGCTCGCTAAGGGTTTTAATTTATGTAGATCCAAAAGACCAAAATATTATTACTGACTGGAAAGTTTGGAAATTGCGCTCCGGAGATTTCGAAAATTCAATAGTAAATACATAGAAAGCATCAACATTTGCGCGCCCGATGTGTCCGCCGCGCGACACAAATATATGAAATTATGTACAAATTATCTACTTCCCTGCTCGATAACATAACAGTGAAGACGTCGTGATAACTTTTAGTGAATTCTTAATATATTTATTTCAAAAACCCCAAATGAAAAGACACAACTGGACCAAATAGTCGATAGCGAACCTTTGCACACTATTCCATGGTCGCCATTTTGATTTTTATTTCGTAAGTATTACGTAATTAAAATGACGTAATTTGTCATTTTGTGGCGTACCATAGGGCAAACCTAGAGTCGGGGGGGGGGGGGCACCACAGGTGGCCCCACAGACTAATGAAGCAAGAAATACAGGACGCTCCAAGCCAAATTTAAAAACCTGTGCTTTCATTATTATCACATATACAATGTTCAATGTCCAATATGCTTTCTGCATTATCACTTAATACTCGTCGATAATTTGCTTGTAAATTTACATGTACTTCATTTTGAAATATTTCCATTTTTTGGTAGTGTACTTGAAAACCTAATATTTATACCAGTGTTGTTATACAAAATAGTGCCCCAATAAGCAATTGCAGAAACTGTATTCGAATCACAATAATTGCATGGCTTAATAGTGGAGTAACAAATAGAATATAATGCAATTGCACAACATTGAGAAATGTCAGAACTACATGCTTATGTATTAGTTTCCTGTGAGACATTACCACTACCAGGCATACCGTTTTCACTAAGGTTTTGGGCGTGGTGAAAAAAAGCTTGTTGTTCTTCAATATTTACTCCTCGTAGCTCAAACTGACTGTTTTCACCGTATAATGACTGTAAATGCAAAACAACATGGTCGATAGTTGCTGTCTATAACAATACACAAGTCCCTTGTGGATGGCTTCTACCATATATATCCCTTGAATGAGAGTCAAAAATTTTGTATTTCCCATCATTTATGGAATATATGCAAACTGCATTGGAATCAATTGTCAATATAAATGCAGCAAAGTTTTCAGTCAGTAGCAACCAAATGCTCGATGAAATGGTACACAGTACTGATACCCTTCAATATGACTTTCTCCAAGTAGTCTGCCACCTGACTCGTCCCCAGTCGTCTCTAAAGGTCTTGGAAATGGAGCTCGAAAAATTGCTTGAAAATTTAAAACAAAGGCAAAGCAATCAAAGCTGAATTAATTTGAGAATTGAGATATTGCGATTCGTGAGACACGCACAAATGCAGTAATCACGCGCGGGGAAAAACTGAAAAGGAAAGCGCGCGGGGAAAGACGGGAAGGGAGAAGGAAAGCGCGCGGGGAAAGACGGGAAGGGAAAAGAGAAACGAAGGAGACGACTGGCAGATCCTGTATCGAAAAGTTGTTTTTTTAAACGAAAAGTTGGCAGGCCTTATATTGCATCATTTTTACAGTCGGTCTGGTTAGAATATACGATTAGTACAAAATTATAGCGGCCAAATCAGGGCTGTCAGGACCAGAGAATGATATTGACGAATTAAATCTGTCATTTGACGAGCTGAATATCGAAGGTATGTAATTGAGAGTTGTATTTATTTTATCTTTCATTAATAAACAAAAATGTTCAATTTTTTTCGATCGAAATTATCATATTTTACTCCAGTATAAAAGCTTATGACAATGTTTGTACTAAATTGCTTTTCACTGTATATATTAAAGTTTTCAAAATAGTCTAATAGTGGAGCACTGCAGCTAGTCAGGTACAAAACTGCATATTTACCACAGTTTAGTATAGTGTTATTTTGAAAACTTACATTTAAACTTGGTTTTGTTTATGCTCTGCCAGGCAGTTTCCACAGAGCACTTTGTGAATGATTTTTGCAACCAACCATATAGGTGAATTGTTTGTTGATGCAGCAGAGCAAGAGAAAATAAGGACAAGTACCCCTCGAACCACACGTAGAAGTTTGTTCAATCAATTCAAACCAACAGAGAGACAAGAGGATTTTGCAGAATCTGCTGATGCTGAAATTAGCAAAATTGATGATGTAACTATGGGAAGTAGCAGAGGAATAAAGCATGACTTGACGCCAAATTCCAAAAAGTCCAACCAACCCAGGGCTAAAAGGTCCCTTGTTGGTATGTATCTTATATTAACCAGCTAAGTTAGAAGCTGGCATCTAACTAAATGAGTCAGTTCATAATAGATGTACTCTGTAGATTCATTTTAATATTTAACACTTACCCCTATTCATATTATGCCTATCCCAGTACAGTACATTCAATGTATAGAAATGAATTTTACAATCATCTTCACTGACAGCTGTAATAACCTCAGCATGGTATGCACATGTACTCTATAACTTGCAATTTTCTATTTGCTTTTCTTTTCTAGGAGGAAAACCTTCAGGTCAAGAAATTACAGACATAAAGTCTAAAATAATAAATCTACTGCAAGCTTCCTTTATTCAACAACATGGCAGTGAGGTAAACAGAGATATCCTACTGTCATCTATTGGCTTGGATAGTGGTAGCACTTCAAATTCACTGGTTACTCGTACAATCAAACAAATTTTCCCAGACCTTACACTCAGAAGGGACAGAAAAAATGACTTGTATCCTTTTTAAATTATATGGGACTGGCGATTTACATTACAAATCTGTGTGAATTGTATACTTTTGAAAACTGATGGAATTAAAGTCTATTTTGAAAAACAATAGTATTTATCTGTCAACCAAGATGTTTCTTTAACTGACTATAGAACATTTTATGTGAATCTCAAACATAAAAATCCATTCTCTTGCGAAGATTCTGAGTGTTCACGACCAATTTCAGGTAGGTAATGTATGCATATCAACTCTATAAATTGGAGGACATGAGAGGTACCATCAAGGCCCTTGCAGGAGAACCCAGATTTACCCTATATTAAGGACCCCCCCCCTTTTTTTATTAGTACAGTTAGTGCTTGGTTAGTGCATAAGAATTAGTGCCTAATGGTTAGTTTTAGCGATGGAGGAAACTGGAGTACCCAGAGAAAACCTTCGAAGCATAGGAGATAACCAACTAATCTCAAATTATGTGAGTTAAGATTAGTTAAGAACACTGAGGTATTCATCTGAGTGTCACCGTATCCTCAACCTGCTGTATAGGAGGCTTAACTTAGATGTAATAGGCAGCATGCTTACTGCTTTCACCACCCTGTAGTTCTACACAAAATATACAACAACAATATTTATTAAAAATTACAATTCATTGTCGTTCTTTCATATGGGTTTGAACATTTTTATGTTCTCATAGATGAGATGATCAATGTCCATCATCAACTTGGAGCTGTAGAAGAAGTTCTAAGACAAATTATACAGCAACTGGAAATAGCAGGTGAAGGAAATGTGCACTTTGAGGAACTCTTGAAAAATTTTGTTAGAGAGTCAAATGAAAGAGATGAACTTATGAAGACGCTTCTTAAATTCTACCAAACACAAGCTGAAAACAGTGCTGTGGCATCACCATCAAGTTTATCACCTGATCAAAATGCAATCATCGCCAAATAACTTAAATTGTTTCAAAACATCTGTAATCTTGGGATTCGTAGTGGGAATGTCAAAGATACAACAGAGTTGTTGCATCCGTCCATTTTTAAAAATTTTGGAGATGAAGTAAGAGAGAAATGTCCACTGTTGCACAGTATTGTGGAGGCATTGGTCATAAGCAGCCACCATGAAAGAAATGTTCACAAAACCAATGAAAAGAAAGTGCTTTGTGGACATCATGCTTTGGCCCTTTTGTATAACATCAGAAACTCAAACTGCTGTAATGATTTTCCATTGTTGTTTGGACTGTTGTGTGTATCATATGGAGCGGGAAAACAGTTTATCAACATGTTGCAGTCCATTGGAATGTCACTTCATTTTGACACAATGTGAGTGTGTTTACCAGTGTATCTGAAACTATTAACAATCTGAAAATCATTCACCATACAGTATTTAGGAATTCATTACATGTCAATTACATACATGCATAAATATTGGAACTCATCTCCAGTCTCGTACTCCTTTGAGTAGGCCTAAATTATTGCTGGAAAATTGAAATAGAAAATGGATAATCAAAGCCTCACTTTTGGCTCTCTATTTCATTTGTCAAGCACTATTTCAGGCATTCAGATGTAAAGATGACTGGGGCATAGTCAGTAAAAACAACTAAATATAGAAAGACAACTAAACTAACAAAGATGTGTTACATAACTGCATATCAGGCTAGCTATGAGATGTGGAGATTTTTGAATCGGGAAAGGTTTTAATTCTTTTCCAAGGTAAGCCCATTCTCGTACCCAGAGCCCTACTTGAGGGGCTCTAGCCAAATCCATATCCCAAATGGCATCTGATTGGCTAGTTCTAACACCGGATATTGTTTTCTTACCATGTTTTTATGTTATCCGGTTATGGATTTGGCCAGAGCCTCTCGTCGCACCGCGAGTAAGAAGGGCTCTGGGTACGAGAATGGGTTAATAAGCCATTAGCATTGGAGGTAACTGTAATGTGAAAGGTGTATTGTTGATACACTGATTGTTTTTTAGAACAAATTTCTTGAAACAGAGGCTGGATAATTATGATAAAATTATCTCTGAACATGCACCTGTTGATATCCCTGTTATATTGTTGCTGGACAACAAAAACATGTACAGAGGAAATAAACGTCATCACCGAATTTTTAAAGTTCTTGGACCCACAATGTGGAATTTCGCAGTTCGGGGTGCAATTATCCCCAACTGCGATGGTGTACGTGATCTGCTTGACAACCCTGAAATGACACAAGAACCACAGAAACAGCTAACAACCCTGAAGCCAGAAGATCTTTTCATTGGTATGTCTATTTAGCATACAGTATGTATATGATGAGAGGAAGTCTATTATGGATCTTTAAAATACTAAAAATTGTGTTAAGTGTTTTAAACAATGTCGAATGCATGATTTAGCCTGTAGTCAAATTCATCTACAATCAGTTTCAAAAGTCTTGGGACAGATGCCACAAAACCTTTGAATTTCAACAAACGACAATCCCCCCGCCCCCTGTTCAATGTTGTGTCCCATTTCTCGTCGGGTTTGATGTGTTTTGGTTTAAACAACATTGATTGGGGTGGGGGGAGGGGGAGGGGAGCGGTATTGTGTGTAAAAAACTATAATGATCCACTTACAAGCTAAAACTACATGTGTCCCAACAACTTCTGAAAGTGATTGTAGTTCTACCTATTTACACAGGAACTTGTATGACTAGTAGTCATGCTCGGTTTCCCATGTGAACAAATAGAACCTGATGAATTTGATTCTTTGACTGATAAGATAGTCTACCTGAAAAATATAATGCGAACTTAATGTATCACGCAAAGGCTCTTCGTCTGGAAGGACTTTCTTAACCAAAGCATTTTTGTAAAGAATCTACCCACAATAGCAACCCACTTATGAGAATTTGAGTACGGTCGGGAAATTGTCCAGTCTTGTCACTTAGCCTTACATTGGGGAATTTATGAACGTGTATTAATGTGCATGGTACCAATGCAACAAAATCATAATGATTTCCTTTTTGTTTTGCTAGTGAATTATTAATTTGGTTGAGGATTAATAATTGATATTGTAAAATCCAACAAAAAATAGTAACACATCTGGGATAATTTCACCTATACTTACTTGTACAACCAAGTCCCTTCATGTGTAATCTAAGCTTATAAATCCAAATAATTTTCTTTAATATTTTATAGAGTCGAACCCAGACCATATGAAAAAGTGGAGAGACTCAAAAGATCTGTACTTGGCAAAGCTTTTGGACACCGGATTAAATTCAGTTTCTCCTTCCCAGCAGCAATTTAGCTCCATGACGGAATTGGAATTTACATCATGGTTAAAGAAAAAAAATCTGAATAGAACTTATGTGTCAAAGAAAAAGTATGTGTTAAATTATTCATCAACATCGTCAGAGAGTACAACAGAATGTACTAATACATTGGTGTTACCACTATCCCTTGAGAATAATGCCACTATCACCGGAACAGCTTCTGTACTGGAAGAATTTGAAAAGGAATTCAATATCCCCTGCTACCATGCGAGAGTTGTTTTGCCGTACGATGAGAGAATGAAAACATTTAATATTGACGATGCAAGAAAACATCACGAATTTTTGTACTTGCTACAAGAACACAAGAAAGACATGGAACAGCTTATGCAGCAACTGTCAAATATGGAAAAAGAACTTACCGATGGAGATGACCCAACAGAAGTAGAAAGTGATGAGGAAATTGATGATGAAGGTGAAAATGAAACTTTGCAAGCCTATTCGTTTCAGAAGATTGATGGAAAATTCAAGAAAATTTATGAGAAACTCGCTCAAAAAATGTGGAACGCTCGTCTTTCAGGCGACCCTGCTGTTACTATTGAAATGCAACAATACATGCGCATCAATAGGGCTTCTTGGGAAAAAGCAACAGATCATCATGGATCCACAGTCATGCACCATGCAGTACAAAATGGTAATTATGCTTTGGTGAAAACATTACTTAATGCTGGGGCGAATATAAATGTGAAGGAGAAATGCGGTGCAACACCTCTCTCACTCGCTGTACTCAAAGGTGACGAGGAAATGGTACGGATTTTACTCGAAAACTTTGCAATATGTCGTGAAAGATTTTTCACTTCAGTTCCTGGACCAAAAGCAATTGCAGAAAAGCTTGATCATGATAACATTAAAGTACTAATTGAACAATATTTAGCTGGAGAAGATAAACTAGACCTGTTGGTTTGGGAAATGACTGAAGGTGATTCATCTGAACCGATGGTGGCAACAGAGGATATGTTGGATCGAGAACAGAAGGATGATCAAGAACACAAGGCATATGGTCGTGATATAAATAAATGCAAAACTTTGTTAGTTGGCGATCAGGGAACTAACAAAATTATTCGAAGTGTGAAGCAAAAATCACGGTCAGCATACGAGTGGGCAGCAGAGGTCCCAGGTGATATGCATGCTAGAGGTGGGTATATAGGATAACTGTAGAATAGTTACAGTATTGAGAAGTCCCTTTTTATGAACAAAATTCCTCATGCAGTCTCTTCCTACAGCATAGCATATTCTTGCTCAAACATCAGAGGATGTATGCTCAGTGAAGCCTGTTTCCAATGCCCACTGGCTGAATTCGTTCGTGTGGCATTTTATTGATAATATTAATAGCCGAGTTCATATTTTGTTACCAGGTAACACAATTTCCTACTTTGTCCTATAATATGTTGGCAATGGACAATTTCCATATAAAATAAATTTTAATCTAAATAAAGAAAAGGGAATCAAACATCACAGATAAAAAGAACATAATGAAAATGGTAGTGCAAAGTTTGGTTGTGAAATGTTGTAAAGCTTGGCAAATACAGCCTTGCGAAGTTTGCAAATTTTGAATATGTTTGTATTACGTGACGAAAATTGCTACCACTTTCTTCTCACTGGAGTGGCTGCTTAACAATAATCCCAACATCATTACATGCATTAGGCAAAACAATTCTGGTGCATTGCGTTCAACAGGTTTCAGGAATAGGTTCTTTGTGACTGTTCACTAATATAACCAGGCCTGGAGCTACGGGGGTTGTGGGGGGTGTGACACCCCCCCCCCCAGTAATTGTATTCAGTCGGCAGGACTGCTATTCAGTCGGTAGGACTGCTATTCAGTCGGTAGAACTGCTATTTGGGTTAAATATTTTTGGCGTAAAGGGCAAGAACGTGGTGGGAATTTTAGGAAAATTTTGAGGAAAAATGTAAAAATTTTGGAAAAATGTAAAAAAATGTTGAAAATTTGTTATGTGCGGAAAATTTTTAAATGTTCCGGAAAATTTTTGTACGTCCGGAAACATTTTTCGACCGCTAAAATGGTACACTGACCGAAATTTTTCTATTCATCAACATCCTTTTACTATTTTCAGGCTATTTGTATGAGGTTTGCAAAAAGACAATGGGTCAGTCAGGTTTTATGTGTGTTGCTCAACATGTCATGAAAAGAGTCAAAGTTACTGATGCTGCATTTGGTGATAAAAAGTTCCAGTACCAGAACCTGAACCGTATTGGCGAGGCTGTAACGGATGTTTCTATGGCATATGGGCTAGCTGCAGTTCAAGAATTCATTGCAAGTGAAATGTTTCCTTCTAAAGACGCTCTTGATGCATATGAACATAAACATGGAAACCATCATGAGCTTCTTCTAAACTTGTTTAAAGACTGGATTGAAAATAACAGCAGTAATCCTCAATTCCAGTACCACTGTCAATTGATCACTCTCTTCGGCCCATTGAGGGAGTTATATTTAACAAGTGTAAAGTGTGGGGATGGTATCGGTCGTGAGGCTGTTTGGATGCTCATGTTACCACTGTTTGCTCAGTTACAGAAACGGAACTACTGGACTGAGGCTTTTGTACACCTTGTCAACCTTTTAGCAGCATGGCCTTTGGCAACTAGAAAACTACTACAGAACAATTGTTCAGTTAATGTGAAGGGAAGACATGGTCATAACATTGCCTTGGATGAGTGGGTGGAATCATACTTAGTCAGACCATTAAAGAATTATGCTTCAGGTAAGTCAAAAATAAGAATTTGTAGAAAATATGTTTTGTGCATGAATTACATATTTGCCCTGCAATATACATGGATCACAGATGTTTAATACACAGATGGTGTATTCAAATATATAACTTTGGCACCCATAACAAAATAACAAAAAACTTTTTCTTTTATACAATACCAGCTTAATAGTTATTATACGTCAAGGAAACCTTTTAATAAGTTTGTTTACTGTATTTACAAGAAAAAGACATATTTTATGAACATCTTAGCTGTCAAACCCATTAACTGGCAATACCATCCCTATGCAGCCACTTTAGTATTTTACTCTGTTCAACACCAAATGATTCTACTCATCAGTGGAAGAGTTACTGCCAGTTATTGGATTAAATCAATTTAAAAATTGTTTTAAAGGTTATTCAAGTGTTAACACACTTATTTGTGCAAACCTGGAAACTGTTGGAAGAGTTAGACATGCTTTTGCAGGCCATGAGGCATTCAATATCCATCCCACTACCAATCATACGGAAGAAGATCCATTTCCTGATCAACTTAAAGGGATGTGGTTTTGTCTGCACAAGAAGTTTTTTCAACCTAACAAAGAATGTAACACAGTGCCAGTCATATTGGGCACAGGCGAAGAGAAAGGCAAATTGCCAGGCAGGTTGTTTGATGTGTATGATAAAGGGAAAGAAAAAGTAAAATTGAACTTTGGAAAAAAATTGTTTAACACTTTTCATGTGATTTCTAAATCAAACCAGGCATGTGATGAAGATGTGGAAGAAACTCTTAGTGACTGTGATGTACCATGATAATTATTAGACTGTGTGTACAGCTTATTCAATAAAGGTTGTCCTTTGTAAACCTAATTAAAATTAAACCTTCGACTCCAAGCATGCAAAGCATATCAGGAGCATGATTCAATCAGTTTTGAAAACATATATGGGATGGGTTCCATTTCTCAGAGACATGGTAAATATCTCCTCACAAATAGCTGTAATATTCAACTATTATAAGATTGAAACTTGTGCTCCCATTATGCTCTGCACGCTTAGATTTTAAGGTTCGAGTTTGCAGTAACCTGAGATCAGGCTCTATTTTTTAAATAATAGCCTGACACAACCTTAATCTGATCACTTTCCACCCACAGCAAAGTTTATATTTAGTATCCAATCAAAATGTCACAGGAGAAATTTAAATTTCACACAACGACAACAACAATCTAATTATAGTTGTGATCACTATACATATATCAACGACAATAGTATAATGTAATTAGTACCAACTAATCAAATGACAGATTAAAAAATATTTTGTCTCATAGACCTATCAGATTTACAACCGAAATACGGTTGTAAAAACATGGACTTTTGTTAAGGTTTGTATCAGGCCTATTTATTTATTTATAGGCCTGATCACAGGTTAGGTTTGCAGAGGACAACCTTCTTTGAATTAGATGTATCATGAAACTGTTGCCAAAGTTTAAAATAGCTAACATTATCTAACAATTTTAGTTTTAATAGAAATATATATGTACTGTTATATAGCATGAAATAGCAGGCTACATACTTTATGCTTGAGGGTTTGTACGATCAAATCACCTAAGAAATATACTGTAGAAAAAACTTTGATGGCACAAGCACCTCCCTAACTTGTTCCTGTTCTAGCAAAATTTCAAAGTTCTTGGTATATTTTTGTAAGTTTCTTGCATTTGCAGGCCACGAGGGTGATGAGGCATATACTAGACAGATTTAGATTGAGGACGCGGACGTCAAAGACGACGTGAAAATGGCGTGTTGTGCCCATGTATGGATATGCTACGTCATGTTGATGCCATTTTCACGTCGTCTTTGACGGCCGCGTCCTCGATCTAAATCTGTCTACTTTTTCAGGAATTACTTATAGTACTCAAACCTGAAACTGTTATTGTGTAGATTTGACACTTTTGGTCCTTTGCATATATATGGTGTTGAACGGTTTTCATTTGCATTTGGTAACTGTTCATGTAAAATTTGTTCAAGTATCATACACTGTATCAGTTTCTGGAGCTCCCTATCGTGAAGCTTGCCTTTGCCATAATGACAAACATTGTGAAATCCTTTAGTTGTTATCACACTGGACTTCGAGCCACGGTAGGTTAAACCCAATAGTTTAGTTGTGATCTTTGGTTGGATTGTTTGCATTTCCTCTAGACAGTTAACTACCTCTTTGGCAACTTCACTGCACTCAACAGGTTCTACATTCTTGTTCAATATGCAAACATGACAATGTTTGTTACAAATGCTACTGCTGCTCGCTTCATTATCAAAGTACGTCACTATTTGTTGTTTTATACAAACAGGGGTTATGCAATGTAACAATGTGCAGAATTTCCATCTCTTCCAGCTCTGCCAGACTCCTGCACATAACTCTCTAAGTCCTTTGGCATGCTATGATGAATAACAAATCTAACATTTGATTTATCAATTCCCATGCCAAATGCCATTGTTGCACAAATGACATGGGCCTCTCCAGATTTCCAACTGTCAACACTTGCCTGTTTTGAATGTATATCCATACCAGCATGGAAAAACACAGCATTTATACCAGCTCTTCTTAAATGGTACACAACATCAGCTGTGTCTTTTCGCTGATTGCAGTAAACAATACCACATTGGTCTGAAAATTTTTGTTTGATAAGGGAAACTATTGCATCAAAACCATTGGACTTCTTTTCCATTATGTGGTAGATCAAATTTTCACGGTTAGGTGTTTGTTTAATCACCATGGTTTTCTCTGACAGCTGTAAGCTGTTTAATATGACACTCTGTGAGCGAGTTGTTGCTGTCCCTGTCACTGCCAAAATTGGAGACCCCAAGTGGCATAGTTTCCACAACTCTGCATAACTGGGTCTAAAGTGAAACCCCCAAGTGTCAATACAATGGGCTTCATCAATCACAACCAAACCTAACAAATTCCTGGATTAAAGACTTTGTAATAATGTTAACACAACAGGTGTTAACACAGTTTCAGGTGTGACAAAAAAGAAGTTGTACTCTGGCGGATTACAGTTCAGTTTGTGGATTACATTTTCTCTTTCTTCTTCTTCCATATCGGTCATCAGGTAGCAAACATTCATACCTTTTCTTCTTAACCTTTCTGCTTGATCAAGCAATAATGCCAATAATGGAAATACAACGACAGCAACTTTGTTCTCCATTACAGCAGGAACAGCATAACACACTGTCTTACCACAACCTGTTGGCATTATAAGCAAAGTGTTATGTCCATTTATGACACTTTCAATCGCTTCTTGCTGTTTTCCTCTGAACTTTTCATGCTTAAACACTTGTCTCAAAGTGTCCAGAATCTTGTTTCCTGTCAGCTCAAATTCAGTTTGTATATTATTACATATATGTACGTGTTGACACTGAGCTTTCTTGACCTGCATATAATGATAGATCCTACAAAAATCAAAATAGATCTATAATTTAGGAATGAATGTAATAGACTAAATCAATGTTGCATAAAAAACATAGACAGATTAAGTGTAGAATTTGAGTATTGGGAAGGGTATGCACATAATGAGAAAGAAATTTTGACTATTTGTGGCATACAGTAAAACTTGAATGATGTGGTTTCTTGCACTTCACTTGGTGGAATTATTATTAGAATGTTAGGGTTTGTAATCCAAGTAATTATGTACATTTTAAGACCTTACCAGGAACGACTGCGAAAAAATGCAGCACAAGCAGGGTGTTAGCTATAGTCAAAAATTCCGCGTTAAACGCCGTTTTCCCAATTACCTTGAGGTCGCAATTTCCCAATTAGGGTCAGCCAAAAAATTGTTATAGAAATTCAATGTTGTTAATACACCATTAATTAAAAACATGTTTATAACTACATTTGCTCAAAATTACTCGCACAATGTGGGAAATGCCATTTCAAAGACACAGAAATTTTAAAAATCGAGAGGGCAACCGCATGCCCCCAGACCCACAAAGAAATGCCCGGCTTCAGGCTAAAATAAATTTCCCAATTTCAGGTAAACGCGGATTTTTTTTACTTCTGGCTAACACCCTGCACAAGGTCCTTTGGTAGGAATTGAACCTGTTTGTGTGTTTGACAAACAAACCCTAACATTCTAATAATACAGTAAAACTACATGTATTAAAAACATAGATACTGATCTTACCCTTTTGACGAAAATTGCCTCTGCCACCACTATTGTAATGAGGTTTTCTCCAACAATTCGTTTGGAATACCATGTGTTAAACTTTACAAACAACCCTGGCTTGCTCACTTCCAGTATTTCTGGCTTCGCTCCTTCGCTATACGATCTCAGTTGACCATAATGCATTAATAACATCCCTACAAGCTTGGCACATTCTTGTGGACATTTCGCCACTAAATCAATGGTAAGGCAGGCTTCATACCGCGTTGATATGCTAAAGCGTTCGTAGTCGTTGCTCTAAAATAAGTGAGAGATGGAAAATACTGTGAATATACACGTAGATTTGATTTCAAGAGTAGCAACCTGACGAAACATATGTAAATTTTTGCATGTAGCTCATGAATTATTAATTTGCCAAACACAGTGCTTGAAAGAGCAATACATATTATTAAGTCACCTACCTGAAGCTGGCGTTGTTTGGAAAGGATTTCCAAATGCTGTTTCGTTTCTTCTCCGTGAGAAAATCTAAATATACGGCGTGCATCTCGAAGTTGTTTCTCTTCGTCAAATACAATCCCACTATCTTTGGTTCTGAAATGTTGCGCGATTCCTTTCTCCTCGAAAAATACTTTCACAGAGTTACTTTTACCCGATCTGTGAGGACATGGTAGTTTTCCGTCTAAATACGCACGATGAAATGGCCTATTTTGGAGATCATGATTTTCTTCAAAATCCGCCATTGTTTTAGTGGCCATCTTGAATCCAGGATCTGCCAGTCGTCTCCCTCGTTTCTCCCTTCCCGTCGTCCCTCGCGCACCCACTCTCCGCGCGTGATTTTTACTGCATTTGCGCGTGTCTCGCGATATCTCAAGTTAATCCTATGAGTTAATTCAGCTTTTAAGGCCTTTAGAGACGACTGGGGACGAGTCAGGTCTGCCACTATAGCTTTCACTATACTGGAGAATATAATCTGTGTTGAATACGGAAGTTGCGTAGGCAGTTCTGTAAACATTAGAAATGATTGGCTTGTCGAACGTGTCAAGTTTGAATATAATTCATTGCCAACATTCATTAACCGAGCCAAATCTTGTGATGAGTAAATGCCCTGTGTTTTATTGTATATGAGCGCAAATAAACACATGGCCAAACATTGCTGTCCTGCTGTTTTGCCAAATATAAGTTCATTTCCCTGACAACATGGTGCACTTATTGTCATGCTAGGATCTATATAGTATACAGGTCCAGGATTGGTCTCGATGTCTGAACAAAGCGCAGACTGATGGACATTTATTATGTGATTTAAAGTTTTGTATACCTGTCGCATACAAAATGTGTGTCACATTTTGTATGCATTAATGATGTAAACATATTTAAATAACATTTTAGAATAAGATTTTGAGAAACGTTTGATGTCTTTGACAGCAACATGATAGTACCTTTCGGTAATTTTGTATTCGTGCGGTCATTGGCCTGGTTCGGAAACGCTCAACATATTTTAGTGTAGGCCTTTCCACGAATAATGCATGTATATACCCGAAGGTATATTTGCATTTTTTGTACCCGACGGTATGTTTGTATTCATGAATCATAGACCCAGCTCGAAATCTCTCAGCATCTTTTAGTGTAGGTCTATGACGAATATGTGCACATTCATGCGAGATGAGCGTATCTGAAGATAAAATACATTCAGCTCTTACACTGTGAAACATCTATCAGGCTTCAATCTTGAATCCTTGAAAACTATACAAAAATATTCACGATATTTTGTCTTTTCACTCCTTGAGCAGAGAATCTTGAGTCCTTGTCGCAAATGTTTCCACTTAAATATAATCAATTTTGCTCAATTTTCCAACATAACTAAATTGAACTACTGTATATAGTTCTATAATTCAATGTCGTTGTCTCACATGTTTCCACTTCAATATACTCAATTTTCCTTAAAATCGTGACGTGCATAATGGAAATTTGTGTACAACGGAGATTTGCGAACTGCGATTGGAGATCCGCGAAAAAAATGCGTGCCAAAACCTAGAGTCGCTGTGGGCACAGTGCCCCAGCGACTAATAAAAATCAATTTGTAGTTAGTTTTCATTTTGGTGAATGGAATGCATTCGGGTTTCCCCAACACAACTGTCAACTAAAACTTTTTGTATAAATAACTTTATTATCATAACAGGCATATGTCAAAATATATTGACATGAAACAAGCAGATATAAAGTTAAGAATAAAAACGTTCAGAACATGCAGTTGTATATTAATTTATTTATATGGTATACAAAGCACAATCTCCTGTATATTGTTGCCATGAGTTCATTGTAATAATAAAAATAGACAAAACAACTTGAACGTTTACAATTTGAATTATCCTAAAATATTGTTTTTCTGTCTTAAATAATTTGTCACTTAATAATATATGCAGTGTATGGATGTGCTGGATACCAACTTTCCAGACAAGGGTGGATCCAGCAAGGTTTTTCTGGGTGAGCAGCCGAGTGTTTCTTTATAATTCTCTAGGGGGTGGTGGGAGATCATTCAAATGAATTAGCTAACAACAAGCTCCCTAGGGAGTCCAGAGTATACCCCCGGAAAACTTTGAAAATTAAAACCCTAGAAATGTCATTTCCTGCAATTTACATTGAATTATGAGCTTCAGTTTGATTTCAAAAAATGAAAAACCTTGGAAATTGTGCTATATTTCTGAATTTGGTTTTTTTGCACCCTTGTTGACCAGGCCCGACAGGGGTGTGTACCCCCTTCCCTATAAATCCAGTAATCCACCCCTGTTTCCAAATCCCGTTGTGCTAAATAGTACTCTACATGATACCAGTAGAAATGGTAACTGGATTCTGGATAATATTTGTATGACATGTACTAATGTTGGAACTTCAACAATACTTATTTAGTTTTGCCTAATATAACCATTGTTTTAGTATTTCCTTATCCTTTGATATATTGGTAAAAATAAATCTCTGTAACAGGGGAGTCGACTGGGAATCTAAAGTTAAAAATAATATCCAGTAAGTATCGGGCAAAATGTCATTTCATATCTGATGTTCATATTTTGTCAAATACCTGTATTCAGAACATCCCTATACAAGGCAGTTTGTGGATGTGAATTTTTTGTATCTATAAAACACCCGACACGGAAACGATTTCCTTTTTCTTTTCCTCATCACCTAATGAATTGATTGTTGAGTTTTTCAAGTAAATCAAAGACATTATGCACACTATCTTAAATTCTGCGGCCGCAACAATTTCTTAGCAAACAATGCAATTTAGCCAGCTGATTGGTTCATTTTAGCCATCGAACTACGAAGCAATGCCCACTGATAATATTATGATAATAAATGGGCATTTGCCACCAAGAAAAAAATTTTGAGGACAATTGAAGTGTATCACTATGTTGCCTAATATGTTAGCACGGTATATAACTGCAATATTACAACTTTAACTCGTTTCACCTTTTTACCTGTATAGCCGTTTTCGAAACCTAATAATAAATTGCGCTAACTTTATGGCACGTGTAAGTCGATGCCAGTAGGGTTAGTATTGTACAAAAATATGGTCCCGTACTATATATATATATATATATATATATATATATATATATATATATATATATATATATATATATATATATATATATATATATATATATATATATATATATATATATATATATATATATATATTCACTAAATGTGCCTAACAAACACACACGTACGGATAGTTTCACATACAGTTAGTAAAATAAGAATGAAACATTACGTTTAAATGTATCATCTACCGTTGGCCTTCACACATGCTTACACGCGGAACGCAAGAAGCCAGAGGAGTTAAAGCAAAGCTGACTGTACAAGCCTGCGTTTGAACATTCAACATCTGAAAAATGTTGCGTTCAATTATACAAATATCTTCTGCCCATAGGATGTTTCATACCACTGAAAACTTACCAAAAGTAAAATTAATTCTTTTTTTCTGGCCAGGTTCTACAGCATCAACTAATATTCGCAGCCATTCGCCAGGAGGACACAGCTGGTCTGAAAACAGTGAAATTTTAGTAAGCAGGTGATAAATGTAATTGCTGTTTTCGGTACCAGGACCTCATTGACAGCTTTTTGTGCCTCTGCGAGGAATATATGTAAGCGAAGTACTGAAAATTTTCCTGTTAGTAGATAACTAGGACTGAACATAAAAGCCAAGAAGACCGAAACACTTCATCTCAACACCTTTGGTGAACAAAGTTATCGAAAGCAGAAATGTGAAGTATCGCCATTGTCATTCCGAAGCAACAAAAACGAAGATCTTGAATCCGGGTTTTTTCCATTAATTTAGTTTATTGTACGATCATCCAGATTAAATTTTTTAAATTATTTCTGACGTTTCGGCTACCTACACGGCAGCCATTATCAAAGACGTATTACAGTTACAAAAAAATTTACAGTTATAATAATTTTATCTTGCGTCAAAAATGACGTGCGCGTGTTCGTGATGTTGTTTGCTCGCGCCTGCGTTCAATGCATGAGAGCCTGCGTTCCTGCGTGATTAGTCCAGCGTATGCTCCTGGCATATCGCGGCAAATGTTAATGCTGTTTTCATCGCATTTTGTAAACCAACTTTCTAAGAACATTCTCTCATCCGCAAAACCATTAAACTCCATACAAGTGGCTCCCTCCCAATCAATTCTATGATTTGTTTCCATATGATGAACCGCAATTCTATTCGCCACGTCTTGTTTCTCTGTTGATCGCTTATGTTCTTTAATGCGACAATCTAGAGTACGTCCAGTTTCACCGAAATAAGTTGCGGGGCATTCAGCGCAGGTCACTTTGTAAACTGATCCTATCCGGGTCTTTGTATTGGTTGGATCTTTCACTTTCATCAAGGTATTTCTTAGCGTTACCGTTGGTTTGTGGGCCACACTAATGTTGAAAGGTCGTAGGATTCTTGCAATTCTTT